GGGACGTCGACGCGGACACTTCTATTATGAAAGCTGACTGTCGAGAATCGTCAAGAAGTACGCCAACCTGAACACAAGAACATCGCCCAGGTCGTGCAAGAGCGTATGCCTGACGATAAGTACTTTCGAGTGAGAGGCATCAAGTACATGGTCGGCTCCGAGTTGAAAGATGATGATTGGGAAGGCTGCGAAAACCCTGAGTTCCGAGTTGTTCACTCCCTCAATGGTAGCAACTGCCATGTAGACATCTTCCAGATGCTACAGTCTACGGATCCTGAGGCCCCTTGTACCACGTGCCCCGGTTACAGTGACGGTGCTGTAACTGTCTGCCGAACTGCTGAAGGACGAGTTTGTGGCCTTAAGAGCGACTATGAGCCCTCAACGTGGGACCGCTTGGATTGGGGTGATTGTAAGATCCCCAATAACCCGGTAGGTGCCTTAGAGTCTCAGTATCCTGGTCCCGGCATCGAGCTCAATAACTTCAAGCTGGTGCCCGGTAACTACAAATATGGTTCGCAGATGCTCGTTGTCGGCCGTCCTGTCGACGCCAACGGTAACGAGATTAGCGATGTGGCACCTCCAGCTGCCGCACCATCACTTCGTGGCAGCGATGATAGCAAAATGCAAGAGGTTCTCAGCAACCTTCAGAATCTGGTCAAGGAAGGTTGGTCTGGGGGCTTGAGTCGACAATACGAGATCATTGTATTGGTTGCGTTGGCACTTGTCGGTGCAGCGTGCCTTATTTGTTTGGGTGTTTGTATATGCAAACGTCATCGCACAGTTGATGAACTTCCTTTGTCTTCTGCCGCTTCTGCATACAGTGATGGCAGTAACACGGCAATACCGATAGAGTAGTTGTCTCTTACTCAACTAATACCTTTAGTGCTTGCAATGCATTGTTTTTCTATATCGATTATCGTTCATTCCTCATTCTCGTCCGCATTGTGTTGATGGTAGTGTCAAGGAGGCGTACTTGATAGGATCTGTCCTCAGATGATGGGCTTCGCCTCTGCGAATGGAACACTTGCCTGGTAGTGCATCTCCCAATAGATAAGGAGGATGTAATTTTGAACTCATGAATGCGTGTTTCTTCCGAAATTAGTGTATTCCCATCAGTAAAGTCGAAGGTTTCCGACGCGAGGCAATAGGACTATAAAAAAATGAATGCAAAATAAAACACATTGAAATATGCAATGACATATGGCATATCTGCCCCATGAGCGGAAACAGTCTCATTGAAGGTGAAACTAACTTACATAATCAGTGTGAAATGATCTTCCTATGATGTGCTGCCAAGTTGACTGCACTACGACATATCATGGACTTGTGGCATAGCTGCCCCGCCTGATTGATCTCACTACAAGCGAAACACGTCTCAGAGCTAAGTTAAAGTAACACACAACAGCTACACAATAAAGAAACTATCCTTACTCATTTTTAATCACATCAACCAGATTGAGCAGAGAATTGGCTGAACCCGGGCTCACGCCAGCGGATAAGTCATCAGTTCGATTTCTCTTGAAAAAGTAGTACAACATAAGAATGAGGCACATTGTGCAAATTGAACCTATTGTAAGTGACACAGCATAGGCGCGAATGCTCGACACCATCACAATCTGAGGAACTGTGGACCAATTCATAGCAATAAATCTAGAGGCCAGCACGTTGACACCATTTTCAGACAAGCTTATGCTCGGGGCTATTGCGGGCATATCAGTCTCGCCCATAGCACCTTGAGGGCCTCTTAGCTTACCCAGGCTAGCTGATGTGTGCATTGTTTCATTGCTCATCATAGCACGACCAACCACCAACATGCTAGATCCGAATTCATGATTCCTTGGTACGCTCTGAAGGTGAGCAGTTCCCAAGATAGCGAACCAAAATTGGACCCAATACAGCACGAACCCGGTTTGGGACCTTCACATCACACATCCTGCTTGTCCCATCTCAT